CAAGATGATTTCTTTTGTGACTATGATATAAAGTGAGGGGGAAATACCAGAATATGAAGCATTAAGTTCATTACAAATACAAAAATTCCCAATAAATGGACATGTTGACAGGGGTGAATGAAAATAATGAGAAGTTAAAAAGAGAGAGAGTGAGAGAACGAGAAGTTAGAATGGTGTGGCCTCTTAGTTACTATTCAAAATGCTATAATGAGCACTTTGGCTTATTTTTTGCTTTGCTCATCAGAAGATATGTTTTGAATGTGCCCGTGCCTGTTTTAAAGAAATGTGGCTGTAATAAGGAATGATGAAAATGTTTCTGAGAAAGAGAGGAAGTGGGTTCTGGGACCTTAGGGTGACGACTAAGGATAGGGGACATCGGAGAGGAGATATTACGAATCAAATGAGCAAGCATAAGGGGCCGAGCCCCATAAAACAAGCCCAAGAGGGAGTGTGGTTAGTTGCTGGTGAAATCCGTTTTCAAAGGAGCTCTTTCACAGGGTATCTCTTTTAAAACAAGGCTAATTAATACTCTGGGAGCCTCTTTAAATGGGCCACCCTGCTTGACCCTGCTGTAGGTGCTGGATGCTCCACATCCAGAGCTGAGGTCCTCTGGAAACACTGATTTCCAGTTTGGGACAGTCTGATTACTGGGCCAGCCACGATTCCCCTTAGAACTGCCCAAAGAAGCTCCTTCAAGGAATTGTGAGTTCACGTCCCTCCGATATGCTGCGTAACTCATGAGCATTCAGTCAAGGGAGCTCATCGGTGCCAATCAAAGTGAACAAACTCAAGGGCCTGAGTGCTCAACTGCTAGCAGTCTGCTTTGGCGCTTTGTGGAAGCCACCGTGGCCTGTTCCTTCACGTGCATCAACTGCTCCTTTGTGGGCTCCATCCACTTTTACACGGCCACCAGTTTTTGAATCATGGCATCAATTGATAAAGACAGCGTGTGGCCATGAGAGCAGATTTCAACATCCCTCATAGATGCAAGCAAGTAGGAACAAACGACATATTACATTGGGCAAATCTGCTACACAAGACCTCTTCAGCGTGTTCGAGAAGAAAGATGTTCCTTTAAGGACTCAGGTGTGCCTGACCCGAGCCATGGTATTTTCCATCACTCCATCTGCAAGCAAAAGCTGGACAAGAAGTGAGGAAAAACCACAGAAGAACTGATGCACTTGAGTTACGGTGTTGGCAAAGGAGAGCTGGAACACAGCGCACTGCTGGGAGAACAAACAAATCTGTCCTAGAGAAGTACAGCCAGACTGCTCCTTCGAGGCTAGGGCGATGAGACGTCATCTCACTTACTTTGGATGGGTTATCAGGAGGGACCGGTCCCTGGCAAAGGTCATCAGGCTTGGTAAAGCCGAGGGGCAGCAAAACAAGAGGAAGATCCTCGGAAAGGTGGGCTCACGTGATGGCTACAACAAGGGGCTCCCGCATCACCACTGTGAGGACCCGACCAGGTTTTGTCCTGTTGTGCATGAAGTCGCTATGTGCCGGAGTTGGCTCAAAGGCACCCCACAACCACAGTAAAGGTCATTTGGTTCCAGAGGTCACGGCCGTGAAAACCCCACGGAGCACTTCTACTGTGCACACGCGGTGTTGCCATGAGTTAGAGTCTATACACAACCAACAACAACAAAGGTGCCTCAACTAAGTAGCCAAGGCCTTCAACATCCCTTAGGAACGTCATGTAAAGGGTCCTGCTGACCGGTGGCCCATGGGAATATCCTTTGCGGAGTCATCCTTAGGAGGGGATAGCCTACCTCAATTGCAGAGTTGAAGCTAAACCTGCTGATTTAAACACATAACTGGTTTCCACCAGGTCATCAGAGACATAGAAAAGGAAGGTTGGACCGGGCCTTGGAGATGATTGGGTTTAAACCCATTTTTGTACAGAAAAGAAAGCCAAGGCCCAGCGAGATGGCGTAGGTTGCCCTAGATGACAGCTCTGCCAGGTTGCCTGACTTCTAGCCCCTAGTCTTGAGCTTGAAATTCCCCAGAGAAGATTCTCAAGGAAATATCTTTTTTTCCCCCCCTCTGAAGTCCAATTGAGTGTTTAGCAAATCACTCTGGGGGGAATCTATGGAAAGTTCTATTCCTGCAAACCCCACATGAATGCCAATTTGCTTGAAAATATGTCTCCTCCGAGCTCGAGGTTATGAGAGCCATTCTCATCCCTGTGAGCTTCCGGCTCCCTTCACAGCTTACTCGTCTGCCCCTTTGAAGCCCCGTCCAGTTCCAGAAAGGTCGCAACCATCACCTATATTTAATAGGAAATATAAAATTGCCAGGTCCTTAGAATGTGGCACATTAAATTATTAATTAGGAAATCGGATAGGTTTACAAGTTCTATTACGAAAAATGGGTAAGAAACACACCAACAAAACAAACTACCTATCCCCTCCTCAGTTACGGAGGAGCGGACCTAAGAGAACCTGGCTAAGACGTGACGGACTTCCTGCTCCTGTCTTGGGATGATGGCTCGCCCGGGTTTCAGCAGCCCCTGCTGCAAGCCACCGAGTTTCACTCCGGTTAGCCGGTCACAGCCAGGGTTCGACTGCGGGGCTGGGAGCCCCGCCCACCCCAGAAAGGATTGTCTCGCGGACCAGAGAGCCAGCTGACACTAGAGAAATGAGCTGAAAGGGCAGCAAAATCATGTGGCCGAAAATCAGGTTCGGACTTTGATGTGGACTTCAGGATGCCTCTGTCTGGAAAAAGGAGGAAAAGAAACCTGCGTGCACCTCTATGTCTGTGCGTGACGCTGTGACACCAAGCAGGTTCCCATAGCTGAGCTTTCAGGAAAGCACAATTAGCGCATGAACGCAGTCCGGTGCTAAAAGACCCTCACTTAGGAGTGAGGAATGACTACAGAAAGTTCATTTTGAAGGCCTAGAAATGAACTTCGGCCCAAAGCACCCACATTCTGACCTGATACGAGTTCCTTCCCGTTTCCAACTGGCTACTTGAATGCATACGAATAGATATTTTAGCCTCTACAATTCCATGTTGTCTCGGCCCCTGGAGGAATCCAAAGAGAGATTGGCTGAGGGAATCTGGGTAAAGTTGGTAAACTAATGGGAACACAGAAGGATTCCTATCAACATGGACTCCTGAATGCTAACATGGGGTTTTCCAAAAGTCCTGAGAGACTTAAAGCATTTCCATTTCTGGGGTTCAGAATACATTTTAAAACTAAAATATATCAAAAGTGGGATTCTTAAAAAATTAGCAAATGGAAATTTTTTACCAAAAAAAATTTTTTTAATTCAAAAATTTGAATTTTTTCAAATTCACTATGAAATAAAATTGAATTTGACTCCTTTTGTAAATACGAGGACTGGATCAAATACATTGCACAACCTATAACTTATAACCACCCTTAAAAGAGCCAAGTAATGTTGCCATTTTGAACAGAAACACAAGAGAATTTATAGTGCAGCTGTTCCCTCAGGGCTGCTTCACAAAAAATAGTGCCCCTACAAAATATTTTGGAAACATTGAGAAAGATCTCCATTATGTTTATTATTTTCAAATTGATTATAGACTTCTGAATGGTCCTTATTTCATCATTTTAAAAATCTATCCCGTCAGCCGTTAGTGATGGTGGTATGGAAACAAAATAGTCCAGGTTATAAGAACGTGGGATTGATGAGCCCTCTTTCAGTCGCACAATTCTAGATCTCAACACAAGGACAAGTTGAGCTTCGATCAACTCTGAGCAACGTTATTAAAGCCATTCTTAAAAGTCTCCGAAGAGTCCTTTCGAAAAGCATCTCTTATCTATCCATGAAGTTATTAACTAAGTCTTCATCATGGCTGTTGGCGACTAACTCTGCCTTTCACCTCGGTGTACTTATCACATGGCCCCTCGTGACCGCCAGCTTTCCCTGCACCTGTTGAAAGACTATCTGAGCACTGCTTCTCACCTCCATGCCTCCAAAGCCGGTTGCTGAACTAGATCGTCCATCAGAGCCTCTGTGAATCCAAACACTGAAGCCAGTGCAGATAACCAGCCAACGTATCTATGCTCCTAAACCCACAGCCTTCCACCTCGTCTTGAAAAGACTCGTGGCCCCTTAATACTGGGTGTGTGCTGAGTCTTTGCTAAGATGGTTGTTGAAAAGGTCACTTTCCCACCACCGTGCCTTTTTTACCAACAAGATCACCTCCACACTGTTCTCAATTTTACCCACACTGGGTGTCCAGACCAAATTAAAGCTGCCCGGTCGTAGAAGGCATTGGGTGCAGCTGAGTCATGTCTGTCTGTCCGGCCACAGTATCCCATTATGGAACAAACAAAAGATTAGTCCGTCCCCTTGTGATATGGCGAAGCCCTTTGCCAAATTGGATTTCTTTTCTCAGCAGTGTCGCCAATACACCTGCCTGCCTCAGCTGCCTGATCACTTTCCCCAAGACCTGCACACACGTCTGCCATTGTCCAGCCATTTGTCAACAGCGAAGCACGCTGAAGCTGAACTTGCCTTTCCCTACAACTTGCGGGTCAGAAAAATTACCCGCAGCAGACAGCTCTACAAAGTGTGACCATGTGCTATGAAGCCAAGAGGGATTTGGCCAACCCGCTCCTCGCTGAGCTTTAGTAGCATCACCTTTTTCTATCTACCTGTTTGTCTCGGAAGAATTCAACCCCGGGAAACGTCTGTGCCACCCAGCTAGAGGGAACGCTGGGGCCTTTTAAGTCCACAGTCACTGGAAGCTCCCACTTGATGTAGGCGATTCACAGGTAACACCCAAAATAGCCTAGGTTTCCTCAAGGGGAAAAAAGAGAGAGAGAAGAGAGAGAGATAGAAAAAAAAACCTCTAAGAACCAGTGAGGTAACTTCAGGTAAGGCGAGCTTCACTTCCTGCCCTAGCAGACTCCAGCTGCCACCGGGAGGCTTTTATTTTCAGCCGTCTGATTCAAGGCAGGCTTCTCTTCCCACTCAGGTGTCTTAATTCACGACTCAAAAGAAGGTTTAAAAATGAGAACTTACCTCATTTACCTAAAGATTCTGGGTGGGAAATCCAATAGCTGAGGCTAATGGAAGAGAGGCAGCAGGCAGTAAGCACACCAGCTCCTGAGGATATGGGGAACCACGGGTGTTAACACGTCTGAGCCCTCACCAGAGTGAAGATAAATGCATATGACAATAATTTTAAATCATTTTGTAGGATGTTAAGCAATAAGCCACCAACCGGGAATTCCCTAAGTCACTTCCCCCTTCTCTGATTGGCTGCAGGGCCCTTTAAAAAAATAAAATAAAGGACTGCGAGCATTGGCTCATTTGCATTTGGCCAACTCACACGTTAGTGTTCAAACAAAACAGGTCTAACCAGGTTCTACCTGTCTGGAGAACAGAGACAACCTGTTAATGGATGAGGAATTGATTTGGTGGTGACTGTTCATTTCAACCAGGAGCCCTGGTGCTGCCGTGGTGAAGCACTTGGCTGCTCATTGGCAAGGTCAGCAGTTTGAACCCACCTGGGGCTCCGAGGGAGAAAGCACGGGCAGCCTGCTTCCATAACAATGGACAGCCTCGGAAACCCGCTGGGACAGTTCGACTCTGTCCAGTAGAGTCGCCAGGAATTGATGGCAATGGGTTTGGCTTTCATTCAGTTTAGAGGCTATTTCAGGTAAAAAGTACCGTGTACCCCACCGCGAAAAAAGAAACACAAAACCCACCAGGGAAGAAGGAGGCAGAAGCCGAGTGAGCAGGAGGAGATGATGCTGCGGGAGAAGGAGCACCCTGGTGAACAGCTGTATGAGTTACTCCTTGTCCTTAGTCCCCTCTGGCTTGCCCTCGAGCGTTGCCTGCGGGAGAATCACCTGGCAGTGTGGGTGTCAGAGCCTGTGGGGGCTCCTGGCAAGATAGGCTAGGTCACAGGTTCTCTCTCAGGGCACATGACTACCTCTTTGACATGGACCCTGGGCTATGTGAGAGGATTTTGAAAAGTCAGTCTCCCCCTGTTATCCTGGAGAGCCCTGGGAGGACTCTTGAAAAGGAGGACGGTGAGTAGAAGGGCCCCCTATGAACTGTTTGAGTCTAATAGTCAATGCTCAACAATGCAAGGGCTGATAACCCAGGTTCTTTATATACTTTATACTTACATGATTTTTTTTTATTGTTTATCGACATTCCTTAGATTAGAGGAACTAAAGAGGAAAACACTGGGACTCTAAAATAAAACAACATGTTTGGGGGAAACTAATGAAGGCCTGGGAAGGATCTATGGATTTCAAATGCCCATGCAATTGCCAAGCCCCTGGGCCAAGGGCATACAGGGACCCATCTATGTCTGCTTCACTGGTCCCAAATCCACCTCCACCCAAACAGGTGAGTGACCACTGTGGGTAAGGAAAAATAAGTTCCCTAACCATTAACTGGCTCTCTCTGGTCTTCCTGAACATGGGTCTGGCATGAGTTAACCAAGCCAATTTCTTTCATGTGCCAGCCCTGATCTCTGTGGGAGAAGAAAAAGAAACTGAGGTTTGGCCAAAAAGACAAAGGTTCTGTGATCAAATCCAGTGGGTCCCCAGTTCAGAAGTCTGAGTATGGGCAAACACTGACCGTGAATAGAATGGACGGTCAATGGCTGCTGGCTAAGGTGGAATCGTCAGTGAGAGGCACAATCAATCTTTCTGGTTTGCTTCTGCTTTGTTGGAGATTCCCCGCCCCCCCCCCTTTAGGTTATACAATGGAAACAAGCGGGGTGAGGGGGCGGTTGGGGTCAGGGCCTAGAGGCTTGGTGGGAGAGCAGGGGGAGATAGGGTCATCTTGGACCCGTAACAAGGTACTTACTTTTTGAAGGTTTGGGAAGTGTGCTGCAGAGCGAGGCTAAAAAGGTCCTCTACTTCCCCATTGTTTGGTGCTGCTAAGCGTGTTTCTGACTCAGAGGCCCATGTGACAGGGCAGGACTGCCCCTCAGGGTTTTCTGGGCCGGACTCTTCCCATGCAGTCACTGCCTGCCTTTCATTTAGCAGCTGAGCTCCCAGCCTTTGGGTCACCAGGGCGCTACCTTCCAGGCTTCCAAAAGCCTTCTCGCCATTCCTTTAGGGTTCTACCTAGTGTCTTTCCCAGGGGCCCTGTTAAAACGCAAATCTCTCCCTTTGGGCTGATAAAACCAGTTACTGTCATTATTGCCCATTATCACATTAGCCTCAATTACTTTATCAGCGCCTGATCTGAAAGCAGGGCCCTAAGGGAACAAGGGACTGGCCTGGCAAACTTTTGCTTAGGAGATGAATCAGAAAATACCTTAGATAGGTTTCCTCCTCCCAAAGAGTAGGGATGAGGGAGTTGGGTGGGGGGTGGGGGGTGCTATACGTGCCAGTTGTACTCCAGGGAAGTAAAGGTGCTCATCTTGATCATTTTGTCCCAGATCACCCTGCAACAGCATAGGGCGGGTAGGGGTGGGGCGGGGTGGGGAATGGGGGCTGTGGCTCAGGAGGTGGTGGCCGGCAAATGCAATGTGACTTGCAGGCCTAGTCTCAAATCCACTGATCCACTGTCATCAAGCCAATCCTGATTTGTCGCAACCCCAGAGGACACAGTAGAACTATTCTACAGGTTTCCAAGGTTGTAAAAATGTTCATAAATAAAATGAAACCCACCCGCTGACTTTTCACTTAGCCGTCAAGCACTAAACCCACTGTGCTTGATCGCTCTGGTCACCTTTAATTAGGTTGTGTTACTGTGGGGTTGGTAGGTGCTGTCGAGCCAGTCCGACTCATAGGACAAAACAAGCTGGGCACCATTCTCACTCTCTATGCCAAGCTTAGGCCTACTGCTGCAGCCATACGCCAATCCACCTTGTTGAGAGTCCTCCTCTTTTCCACTGATTCTTTACTTTACCAAGATGGTGGTCTTCTTCTGAGAATGGTCCCTCCTGATAACATGCCCAACATGTGTAAAACAGTCTCCCCATCCTGGCTCCCAAAGAGCAGTATGACTGTACCGCTCTCAAGAGAGATTTGTTTGTCTTCTGGCCAATATTCAATACTTAACATCATCACTTTAAAATATTCATTATTCTTCGGTCTTCTTCATTCATTGTCCAGCTTCTGTATGCATAGGAGGCGATGGAAAATACCATGACTTAGGTCAGACTCACCTCAGCCTTCTAAGTGAAATCTTTGCTTTTTGTAACTTTATTTTAAACTGAGCTTTTGCAGCAGATTTGCCCAGTGCAATAACTACTCCCAAGGGGTGGGGTTTTTGAATCTAAGTAAGATCAAATCCTTGAAAACTTCAACCCCCACCCTTTATCATGATATCGATTATTGGTCCAGGTGTGTTTTCTTTAGATTGAGATGTAATGAAGGTTGTAGTCTTTGATCCTCATCAGTAAGTGTTTCAGTCCTCTTGCCTTTCAGCAAGCAAGATTGTATCATCTCTATATGGCAGGTTGTTACTAAGTCCTCCTCCCATCCTGATGCCACATTCTCCTTCTACTTCTCCAGCTTCTCTCTCTCTCTCTCTCTCTCTCTCTCTCTCTCTCTCTCTCTCTCTGTAGCATATAGGTTGAATAGGTAGGATGAAAGAATATAGACTCTAACACACACCTTTCCTGATTTTCAGTCAAGACGTATTCCCTTGTTCTATGTGAATACCTGCTGCTTGGTCTGTGTACATGAGCACAAAGGAAAGTTTTGGAATCCCCATTCTTCACAAGGTTAGCCATAATTCGTTCTGACCCACACAAAGTCAATAGAACACAGAAAAGCATCTATCTAATTTGTTCTTGACATCAGCGATGATAAAAATTGTTCCATGTTCTCTTCCAAATCCAGCTTGAATTTCTGGAAATCCCCTATTAATATATTTTTGTAACTATTTTTTAATCATCTTCAGTAAAAGTTTACTTGCATGTGATATCAGTGATATTGGTTGATAATCTCCTAATTCTGTTAGACCACCTCTCTTTGGAATGGGCGAATATAAAGGCTCTCTTCCAGTCCACTGTCTTCTAAATGTCTGGGCAGAGATGAGTGATTGGCTCTGGCATTGCATCCATTGGTGGAAACATCTCATCTGATCTTCCCTCGATCCCTAGAATCTTGTTTTGTACCCTGGCCTTTAGTGCAGCTTGGGCTTCTTCCTTCAGTATCATCAGTTCTTGATCATACTGCTACCTCCTGAAATGGATGAATGGGAACCAATTTGTTATGGTACCATAACCCTGTGTATCCGGCATCATTCAGTACTTTGCCCGAGTCGAGTCGTTGATGTTCTTAGGTCCAGTCAGTTCCAGCTCACAGAGACACTATCTGCAACAGCACGAGGCACTACTCAGTCCTGCTCTGTCCTCACAGCTGTCGTTGTAAGCGATCCCATTATTGCAGCCACGGTGTCATTCCATCCCACCCAGGGTCTCCTTTTTGTTGTTGTTGCTAACTTTCTACTTTACCAATTGTCCTTTTGCAGGGACCAATCTCTCTGGATAATAGGTTCCAAGTATGCGATAACAAAGTCTCATCGTCCTCACTTGTAAGGAACATTCTGACAGTACTTCTTTCCACACAGAATTATTTGTTCTTCTGGCAGTCCATGGTACTGTCCATGCTTTCATTCAAAGGCATCGATTCTTCTTCAGTCTGCCTTCTACATTTTGCCCATAGATCTTTAATTTTGCAACTTGAGTCTTGAATTTTTTTCTTCAGTTCTTTCAGCTCATCTACAAGTTCAAGTTGAAGCTGAAGAAAATGAAAACGGGTCTATGAAAGCCGAAGCACGTCCTTGGGTATGTTGTCGTCAGGTGCCCTCGAGTTGACTCCAACCCATAGCAACCTCACGTACAACAGGTGGAAACACTGCAGTCCTGTGCCTTCCTTGTCATCATTCCGGTGCTTGCACCCCTGGTTGCAGCCACCGTGTCATTCCATCTCACTGACGGCCTTCCTCCCTTTGGCTCTCCTTCCATTTTTCCATGCATGATGTCCTTCTCCAGGGATTGGTCTCTCCTGACAACATGTCCAAAGTATGTCAGATGAAGTCTTGCCATCCTTGCCTCTCAGAAGCACTCTGGTCTTATTTCTCCCACCACAGATCAGTTTGTGAGTTGATGTTGGTTCA